GTGATTGCCTGTGCTGATTGATGCAGAACTCTCTGGCACAGTTTTGGCTTATCCCAGTTCATACTTTTCCAGACAATGCTTGGGCACCGTCCAGAACACAGCTTATTGTCAGGAATGGTTTCCAGTGAGCAGCTCACTGACCACTGCCTAGCTTTGGAGAAGGAAAGAGAATTCAGATGCCTAAGTATGAGGGAGACCGTGCTACCTGGCTTCAAGGCCAGAGAATGGTCCTCGCTCGTTTTTATTTTGTATTTAGAGATATCCAGTGAATTAATATCAGATTTAGCAGGGGAGTTGCGATCTGGAGGATCACTCAGGAGACAATAAAGGTGTATTTGGGCTTAGAAGATTCAGTTAATGCTGATTTTGCACAGAACAGCCTCCTGCTTTTCTTTTAAATCCCAATGTGAATCTGTGAGGCTGCCAGCAAGGAAAAAAAAAAAGTTTTCTCCTTTTAAACACGGCAGTGAGGCCAGGTGACTTTTTTAAAGAGTATCTTTTTGAGCAAAAGTACAATTCCAAGCCAAGCAATACTTAAAGAGCTGCTTTGCTCCGATCCTCAGATCAGTAGAGGAATTGGTCTTTTTTTCACAGCTGGAACAAGTGGGCGTTTCCTTAGGAAGTTACTGTTGTAAAGCTTAGTGTAGGACTGCAGCTAAAGACTGCAGAACCAGTTCCTTTGCTTTCAGACTGAGCTTTCAGCCGCCCCAGTTTGAAGCAGTGTCTCAACCCTGCCTTTTAAGCCAGGCCTCTTGCCATTGCTCATGCCTTCGACTCCCATCTTCTACCCCAGCAGTAATTTGGAAATATTCTGACAAGGAGAGAAGACAGTAACAAAGATGTTTCTAATTTTGCATAGTAAACAGCTTTAAAATAGATACCAGACTTTTAGTGTGGAAGAGAGTGGGTCGCCTTCAGAGTCACAGGCAGAGTAAACCGATCTCTACGTGGTATTTAAATTTGGAGCCTCCTCCAAACTCATGTTTCACATCCCGTCACTAATGTACCGGGATGCATCTTACAAACTGCGGACCTGACTTTTTATTTACCAAGAGACAGCAGAAAGGGCCAGGTCCTTTGTGAAACTAAACCTGGGACAGCTTTGACTCTAATAAAAAAAAAACCCAAACAGAATACTATGTGGCTGAAGTATTTCCTGTATGAAGGCAGACTTTAGTCTTCCAGCTATTCCCAAAACATGCTCCCTACCCTAGATCTGCCTTAAGGCACGGAGACCCTGCGGAAGCGTGGATCTTGCCTGCGAAATAGGTGCTCTCAGTTTGGACCTGCAGCTGTACTGGCAGAAAACAACATCATTCTCCGCACCAAAATAAGACTCAGTCCTAGACATAAATTGGGGTATGTGGTGAAATGGATTTTTCACATTCGAAGAGGTTTTGAGAGATTTCTACAAATCTGTAATAACCCCCCGAATCTTAAAAATAAAAGGCCTTTTTTACTTACTTAAACATACACATATAAAAACATTAATGCACTCCAGAAACACATGTGTACACCGTCTAGTTATGACCAGTACAGCCATTGGAGCTAAATTAATTTAAAACAGACACAAAGGTGAGTAGCTTTTTTGGTTTATTTCTAAAAAAAAAAAATTCTCATATGAAGATGAACCTGTGTTGACAAAATACAGTCACAACAGAAAGTACTAAAAAGCTAAGACTCCAGATCCAATTTATCTTATAATTCCACTAATTAGAGACTGTCTGAAGAAAACTCTGGTGCGCCACACCTCACCGCTCCGGGAGATTTTCTTACGCTCCTTTCCCGTGCTCTTACATGGGAATTGGTGCATGAGATGAGGGTTTTGTGGCACAAACCATGGAAAACAACAGCAGATCCCCCCACCTGCCCTCGCCCGCGGTCCTCCCAGTCCCCGTATGACCGGTATTCCTGTATACCCCCTTACCATGGTGTCTCCAGCAGTGTTTCCTTCCCTTTCGGATCCGTGATGGCAGGTCTCTGCCGGAGCCCGGCGCTGGGCTGCAGGGTGGGAGGCTGTGCCAGCACCTGCTGCCGTGCTTCAGTGTCACGGCACGGTGGGGAATGGCTCGGAGACGCTGGAATTCTGCCCGCTGTGCTGCTGCCTCCCGCCCTGCCGGCCACCTCGCGTGTGCCAACTCATCCAGGCAGGTAGGGCTCAAACACTCCCCAGATTTCACATTTGGTCCCACCTGGTTTGGTGTGCTTCTTACATCTGAGTGTGTACTCTTACACCATACTAACACCTCAGTATTGTAAATATATGTCACCTACAAGACACTTAGAATAGAATCATAGAATGGTTTGGGTTGGAAGGGACCTCAAAGATCATCTAGTTTTGATTATAAAAAAAAGCTCTGCCATGGAGCCCTGAGCTGTGCAAATAGGAGAATTTGGGATGAGTGTTAGAGTGGCTTTGCTGGTACTGCCAGAGGGCTTTTGAATAGCCCATGCTCCTTGAGATGATGCACCACCTGCACGTAACTGGGATGGTCTGGACGTTCTCAGAGGGCTTCTCGTGCACATGGACTGGGTGCTGTGCCATAGGTGCCCTCCAGAGCAATGCAACAGAGCAGAGGAGTTGAGAGTTATTATCTCCAAGTGTTTATGATACCACCAAAATCAGCCTCTTGGAGGGATTTTAAAAAAAAACCTTTAACATGGCCGTACAAAACCTAAACCTTTTTTCTCTATTTAAAAGTAGACATATCTCTGAAAATAGTGTTTTTGAATAATCTAGAGCTTAGAAGTACTGTCCACCACATCTTAGGCCAAGAGAACCACTAAGTCCTGTGATCTATCAGCTCTGTTCTGCCTAGAGATCAAAATACGTCAACAGGCAAATGAAGGACAGCTAACTTCTGTGTCTCCTCTGCCAGATGCACGTCACTCCGACAGATCAGTTGCCTGAGTGACTCTCCAATGGTGGCAGAGTCGTGGATTATTTTAGAACAGCGATGTACCATCTTAGAAAACAGTGCGCTCCTAAGAAATTCTTTGGTGATCATACAAAAACTCCTTTTGCTTTTAATTTGGCGTGTGAAAGTCTTTGCATTTCCCACGTATTGCAATGCCTTCTTACATCAGGTGAAGGAAAATCTGAATGTTCCCCGTGGCCCCTCTAGAACCACGTTCTGTCATTCTGTTGCCACCTACTGGGAGAATTGACTGCGTCTCGTTTTGGGTGGCACTGAAATCTCAGAGTCTGCTATTGCAGTACCCACATAAAAGTGCTCTGTTGCTGAAATACTGGCTTTCAGGCACCATCCCTGAAACAGAGAACTGTGCTGTGTGTTTTTAAAATTTCTTTTAAGTAAAGAAAAGTTAAGTACATGTTGGGATACAGTTTCAAAAGAGTTATCTCCTTTTTGGTAAGAATTGTCATAAACGAAATTTCCCTTTATGTGTTAAAAGTTATAAAATTAGATCTGGACTTGCAGAATTATCTCTCCTAATATAGCAAGTGCAGAACTATAGTTCCTAATATAAAGATCAGCCATTTATTTTGCAGATAAAAAGACCAACTACATCAGCAGTGTTTCTGGGTGTGCCTGGTTTTCTGTATGACCTTCTAGCAAACCTAATACGACCAGATTTACCAGAAAGGAGACAACACTCTTTAACATTCTGGGTAAAACATAATGCATTTCTGTACCCTGCTGGGGTTGCACGTCATATGTTTCAGTGAAAATATTGATGTTTTTTGGAAAGAAATTTATGAAAGATCAATAGTAAATCCAGCATTAAAATAACAGTGGTATATGTTTGGTCTCCAGGGTGTCTCCGTCAGTGTCAAGGCAGATCTTCCAGATGACCACGAGCTCATAAGCAAGTCGGACACACACGGTGAGGTCAGCACAACAGGCTTACTGTCTTGCTGCAGGCATTGTTCAAGCACAGAGCTGGTCACCGGGTACCCCCAAACAGACACCATTTTCTTTACCTTCTGTTACCTTTCTCTTGACTCCTCCCCCAAAAAATAGACACACCCCACTTTTTCACCACTGGCCCTGCTCTGCTAATTTTACACCTTTATTTGGTAGTTTCAGCTCTAGTTAGTACCCTCAGCCAACACCCTTGCCACTTTCTGTTGATGCCTTACGCTCCAGGTGAGGGTCCCCAGAACTCCCCTTTCATTATATGTAATGCCCAGTAGCTTCTCCTGCCATTACCTCATTACTTTAGCCACAGGTTAGGATTGGCCAGCCTTCCAGTATCTGCAACATCCAGCAGTTTCTCTTCTTAAAAAAAAACCCTGCCTGCATGCCTTAACAATATATTGTTTTAAAATTGTAAAACAATGGGAATATACAAAAATATATCTTATGAACAGTTAAGCTGTGAAGTCATAGCTGGTAAGCGTACTTGCACCTCCAGACCAATCCAGTTATGACTGGTACACAGTCGCTGCACGAGCATAGTGTGCTGAAGCTAAGAGTGACCTGAATTGTGCCCCTACTCATGGCAGCTGGCAAAATCACACCTTCTCACCACCCTGCACTGTGGATTCTGTAGGAGCACGGGCACTAGGACAAGCTGTGTGTTCTTGGCAGCAACAGAGTTCTCACTGCATCTTACAGCTTTACCAACATTATGATTTGCATTAGTATGACAAAAAGACTGAGCACTGTAGGTAATTTCTCCTTATACAGTGTCCGTAGCAATTATGTGGGACATTTTGACGCATGAGTTCCTCAACTAATGTCACAGCTGCATGACTATCTTTGCATTGAGCAAATCATAGTATATAGGGCAGAGACCCTTTCAGGATATATTAGCAAAAAACATGAAGCCAGTCACCGTGAGGCAAAGTGGCTAATGATTAGCTGGTCATATATCCTGCATTTCCTGTCTTGTGATCCAACAGCGGACAAGTCATCCTGTTTGTGGTCTACTAAGACAGCAAGGGACTTGGTGTGGGTGAGACAAGCAGAAATGCAGCCGCATGAAATAAAGAGACATAGAAGCAATCTTATGCACAGAAAAGGGCAGAGTGAATTTTAAGATTCCTCTCCCTCATTTTCTTCTTCAAACGAGTCGGTTCCCACTTCTTTATAGTCCTTCTCCAGGGCAAACAGGTCTTCTCGGGCCTCTGCGAATTCTCCCTCCTCCATGCCTTCATTAACATACCAGTGCACAAAGGCTCTCTTGGCGAACATCAGATCAAACTTGTGGTCAAGCCTTGCCCAGGCATCTGCAATGGCCGTGGTGTTGCTCAGCATGCACACTGCTCGCTCAACTGGGGCGAGGTCTCCGCCAGGAACTACTGTAGGAGGCTGATAGTTGATCCCAACCTGCAAACAATAATATGAAAAGATGGAAGCATAAAAAGAGTTATGAGAAAAGAGACAAAATTAGACAATAAACAGGGTAAGGAAATTGTAAAACCATTGGTGGGGGAGGAAAAGAGGTAGGGAAAAACCCAAATCACATCAGTGTTAAGTCTAATGTCATTCGAGCTACTTTTTTCTGCACAAGTCCTTACCCTCACTCAAGCAAGGGGGAAAAAAAGGGAGACCAACCAGAACAAGACTCTTAAATGAAGAAAAACTTATAAAATGCGTCAGTATGCACGGAAACATTGGAGACAATGAGAAAAATCTCTCTTTGCAGAGATGTTGTAGAAATGCTTCACTTGCCAACAATATATTATGGTTAGCTTTTGGGGTTTTTTTGTTTGGTTTAAAGTCTTACAGTGTTGACATTCTCCTGTTATAGAATATAGAAATACCGTATATGCTTTTATTTATTTAAATATTTAGGAGTCTGTGTCAGTGGGATGTCCAAAGGAGAAAAGGCACATTTTATACAAACGCATCTTTCTTGTGTTCATTCATCTCAGAAACAGAAAACATGCAAAATCTGAAACCTTAAATTTTGGTTTAAAGTCTTACAGTGTTGACATTCTCCTGTTATAGAATATAGAAATACCGTATATGCTTTTATTTATTTAAATATTTAGGAGTCTGTGTCAGTGGGATGTCCAAAGGAGAAAAGGCACATTTTATACAAACGCATCTTTCTTGTGTTCATTCATCTCAGAAACAGAAAACATGCAAAATCTGAAACCTTAAATACAAGCTTTCCAGAGGGATCTGTTGGTCTTGATGGCAGCAATTGCTACGTTGACGTCTTTGGGAACTATGTCACCACGGTAGAGCATGCAGCAGGCCATGTACTTCCCGTGTCTTGGGTCACACTTCACCATCTGGTTGCTGGGCTCAAAGCAGGCGCTGGTGATTTCAGCCACGGAGAGCTGCTTGTGAT